ACCATCGTGGCGTCGGAGGGCCTGCAGCCCGGAGGCCTCGCCCCCCGGGACCGGTCTCTCATCCCGAGTCGTGGCTCTGACGGCCCCGAGGCCGGGCGAGGGCCCCCCCAGAGGCCGAAGATAGCGAAGAGCCTGCCGTCGTGAGTTTTGTCTCATGACGCCAGGGGGTCTGGGAAGCCAGACCTCCAAGGCTTACCCACATCTCCGCGGATCTGATTCCTTCCATCTGGGCATGTTAGTTCGACTGCGGCCCCCCGGGGCGTGGCATCGGGCCCTGGGACCACCAAACATGCACCTCAGGGGAAAAAGCTTGCCCGGGGAAGGGGTCGGGACCTCTGGGGCCGCGCACTGGAACAAACACCTCGTCGGATGCCTGGGCAGGCAGAGGGTGTCCCAACACGTGGACACCATCATCGCCATCGGCGTGCCCAACATCGGCGCCGTCATCGACTGAGGGCGGGGGGATGTGCTACGGACAGGCCTGACAGGAAGACGATCAGTAGAGCCTGGCATCCAGCAATCCAAAGAGGGGCCAGGACATAGAAGTAGCACTAGCACGTGGCCACAGACAACTACAAGGCAACATAAGTCGGGCATGAATGGATGGCTCGAACTACGACATGGAAAAGAACCCTCTGGAGAGGAGCGGGGGGCCGCGACGCGGGCGGCGAGGGGGCATCGCGCAAAACTGCGCGCGGAGGCCCAGATGGGGGCGAGGGGAACACAGGACGACAGATGCCCCATGAAGACAGGCAGCTCGCGGGGGGGGGAGGGGCGGGAGAGCGCAGGCAGAGATCGCCCTCGCTCGCGCCCGCGCGACCCCATGAGGAGGGGTCGAGGAGGAGAAGCCAGAGGAGAGAAGAGGAGAGAGGGAGCAGGACGAGGAAAAGAGGAGGAGGAGAGACGGAGGGCAGAGGAGGAGGAGGAGGAGGAGAGGAGAGGAGGAGAGGAGGATGGGGGCAGAGAAAAAGGAGGAGGAGGAGCAGGAGGAGGAGGAGAGGAGGAGAAGGCAGAGGAGGAGGAGGAGGAGGAGGACCAGAGGAGGAGGAGAGGAGGAGGAGGAGGAGGAGGAGGAGGACGAGAGGAGGAGGAGGAGGAGGAGGAGGAGGAGGAGGAGGAGGAGGAAAAGGAGGAGGAGGAGCAGAAGGAGGAGGACGAGAGGAGTAGGAGGAGGAGGAGGAGGAGGAAGAGGAGGAGGAGGAGGAGGAGGAGGAGGAGGAGGAGGAGGAGGAGGAGGGGGAGGGAACGAGGGCGGAGGACGGAGGACCAGGGGGGGGGGCGGCGGAGGGCGGCGGCCAAGCCGTTCCGCGACGGCGGGGAGGGCGTCAGCGCGGGAAACGGGGGAGGGGGGCCAGCCCTGCGCTCGCCATCGCTCGGTCGTCCGTTCCCCGTGTGCTGTTCGGTTGCGGCGCGCGCGGCTCCCCAGGGCGCCGGACTGATCGGCACCTTCTCGGGCGCCCGCGGAGGCGCGGGGCGCCTGCTGGCCGCTCGTCAAGAAAGCGCGCATCTCTTCGCAGGAGGATCCAGGCTGCTCTTCGGTGGTCCTCGCCGAAAAGAAGATGCACACGTCCGAGCGATGCCAGGTGCGGCGCCCGAAGGGCCAAGGTGGCTGTGGCGGGGCAGCGGGCCCGCGACTCGAGACACGCACGGGCTGCCGCGGATCCTAGAAACACGCCGACGGCCTGGCGCAGCGTCGATGCTGCTCCTCCTCTTCCACAGCCCCCCATCCTCCTCCTCCTCCTCCTCCTCCCTCTCCTCCACCTCCTCCTCCTCCTCTTCTTCCTCCTCCTGCCCCTCTTCCCTGTCCTGTTGCTCGTCCTTTTTGTTCCTCCTCCTCTTCCTTTTCCTGCACCTCCTCCGCCTCCTGTCCCATCCCCCTCCGTTTCTTTTTCCTAGTGGTTATCATGTTCCCCGCCCCCCGTTTCCACCTCTTCGCGCCCCCTCGCCCCATGACTGTCAGCTTCGTGCCTTCAGGTGTGTCGCCCCCCACATACCCTGCACTGTTTCTCAGCTTCCCCTACCCCGTACGTCCCCTCTTCAATATTTCCCCGCCTGCGTTCTTTTCCCCGCGCCCCCCCCGCCCCGCCCCCTGATTTCCCATTGGGGGGCCAGGCGATCCCGTATAAAGCGGCATCCCCCTTTCATATTATGCAAAAGGTGCTATGCGCGCGCTGTTTGTTTGCATTTGTTTGTAAACGTATTGTCTTGTTTACGACAGCTCAGCAACTTCCAATAATCCGTTCGAAATGCGAGCGCGTCGTCGCGCGCGCAAAACCCAGAGGCCTCGTAAGGAAACAAATTCGAATACAGGAGGAAACGTAGTTTCGCAACACGATTTCAGTGAACGAGAAACAGTCAGCGCCCGCGCTCTTGAACTTGCTTGGGAAAACAATGGCTCTCAACGTGTTCATTACACATGCTCCCAAACGGGCCTCGCGCGCGCATGCCGATATCGCAAGAATTGCGCGCGTGCTGTCGCAAAAACCCTTGTAAGACATGGGACGAATTGCGAGCGACTGTCGTCGCGCCTGCGTGCCAGAATCCTTCAACAATCTTCGGTGTCATAAGGCTAGCAGATTCGAGCGCGCCGAAAAATGTAAAACCACATGGTTTTGCAGTATAGATGTTCAAGGAAGCCTGCGCCCGCGCCCCTGCGAACTCTTACAAAAGCCACGGCTTTTTAACATGTCCATCAAATTCGGCCAAACGAGCCCCTCTCGCCGCATGTCGCAATCACTCGAATGCCTCGCGCGCGTGCTGGGGGGGCACGATCAAAGTCAAATGATACCATGCGGGCCACTCTCGCGCGTCGGCCGCGCTTGCACGACGAACTCCCTCCAACACGTTACGCGCCAAAACTGTCATCTTCGTCGGCGTGATCAGCATCGCCGCCGACACTGGCCTTGCCGTCGTCGTTGCCACAATCGTCACCGGCACCGATACCATCATCATCGCGCCCACAAGTGTCGACACTGCCATGATACAGCGCCCGCCCAAGACGCCGACTCGCACTGACATGCCCGCTGTAGGGTGCCCAGCGGTCAGCGCCACCGCGGCCGTGCCAGTCGCGACTAACTGCGGGTGGGTGGGTGGGGCGGTTGTGCGAACAATGGAAATCACAACTCGCTGCGGACAGAAATTAACTGCACCACCTCGATCATCCTGTTGCGGAACATGGACGCTACCCCCCACCCCACCCCACCCCTGGAGCTGCCGCTCCTACCTGGAGCGCTGTAGGTTATGTAAGATCATGCCTGGTCGGTCTCCGTCGTATATGTTAAAATGAATCCGTGCCATCCCAAGGTGCGTTGTCGCCGCCCCATCAAGCCCCCCATCGCCCGTCAAAGAAAACGATGCGCTCACTCGTGTATGACAAACAATAATTGTCAAAAACCCGTGGCAATCAAAAACAAAGTCGGCACGCGCGCGTCGTCGCGCGCGCATACCACATGTTTCTCAAACCTTCTTGGTCCCGAACGAATTCCAATAGCGAGGTTCTCGCAACAAATGGAAACAATGGTTTGGCAACTTGGTTTTTCAAACATCGGCGCGCGCGCTGCTGCGAATGCCTACAAAAACCATGTCTCAATCATCGTCAGCAAACTCGACCAGGCGGGCCTCTCACGCGCGCACGCCGTAGCCATTCGAACGCCATCGCGCACTTGCTGCAGAGGCAAAGCCCCTGTCAAACAACAGAGCGGGCCACTCGCGCGCGTCGGCCGCACGCATGTCTTTCCAAAACCTTCCTCACCAACACGCGGAAACCATCATCATCATCGGCGTGACCAGCGTCGACGCTATCATTGGCATTGCCGTCGCCGTCGTCATATCGTCCAACACCTCTACTAGAATCATCGTTCCCGCCGTTGTAAACCTAATCATGGTACCGCGCCCGCCCGAGTCACCGACTCGCACTGAAAGCTCGGGCGCATGCGCGGCCTGTGAGATGCGCTCGGAAGTCCCCGTTGGTGAATTCCACCACGGCCGCGTCGGTCGCGCCAGCATACCTGACCGCTCTGCGCACGAACATCCGCGCGGAAGCGCGGCCGAAGAGACGCGCCAGCTTGCGCCAATCATCCATCGCAATCACCCATCGCAAGCGCCGCATGGCATGGGTGTTGCAAACATTGTTTGTTGTTCTGGTGCGGGTGGGCGGGTGGGATGATTGCAAGAGCACTCGAGCTGACAACTTCTAGTTTTACAGTTGAGTGCTACACATGGGTTGCACGACTTCAGTCTCACAACACGTATCGCACAACATAGCTTGAACCGCATGTCTTGCACCGCGCAGATGGCACAACCTAGACCGCACCGTATCGGTTGAACGCCATCGATTCCACAACATGTGTCGCACCACGGTTATTGCGCTTCAAAGATGGCGCCGGGTCTGTCGCATCAAACAGATTGCACCACAGACTTTGCTTCACATAGATTGCTGGAAGCACACCGGTGGGTAGCACACGTACGCTAACATGTAAGCAATTAACCTGGGGATAGTTGGAAATGTTCGCATGCTGACGTTGCTGGATTCAATGAAATCTATACCTTGTCCGACTGCCCTGGCTTGACCATTTAATCCAGAAGTGCGGTGCTCGGGAGAAAAGCCATCCATGAGACCGCATACCACCGTATCACAGATCGCTTAGAACAAATGCCAAATTCTAGCGGTCAATCAGTCTAGCGGTCAATCGGTAACGCCGCCGGCCACAATCGCATACCGTCAGGCAAGGAGACTCCACAATAAATCTGCAACGAAACACGATCCCGAGTTGATGCTTCCACACCCAGAGCCACCCTCTATCCTCGCAATCCGCCTGTCAAGCGAAGACTGACTCGGGGGGACAGCACAGTACCGATACCGCTGCGCCTACGACCTTTCCAGGGGTGCGTTCTGACCAGGATTTCGAAGAGAATCCGGCCGTGGCGACGAGGGCCCTCCAGGACGAGCATCGGCATCGCTGCCTTTCTCCTCCTCTGCATGACGCTCCCTCCCCGGCGTCCTGGCGCCGCGGCCGCGTGGATGCCCCTCAGTGGCAGCTCCTGCGGCCCGCATCGGCCGGGGACTGCTCAGGGTGCCCCTGACCCAAGGGGAACCCAGCTACAGTCGGGGCGTTGACCTAAGGAACCCTAAATAAGGAACGAGGCCCTTTTTGCCCATAAGTTCAACCTCGATGTCCCATGGAAAACCTCAGGAAAACCCGAGGTAAACTTTGAAACAAACAAGGAACACCGAGCCCCTCCCCAACGAAAAGGGTTCCTTCTTCAGGGCCTCGACTGTATTCGTTCGATTCTGGAGCCCCTGGGCCCTGCGGGCCTCGTGGTGGGGTGCTCTGGAGGTCATTCGAAATCCCGGGGGCACCTTGGGCCCGGGGGCACCTCTAGCAACATCACAGATGAAGCCAGGACGAGGAGAACATCGGGTGAGGATAACTCGATCATCTCTGAGATACGGTGGCTCTGAAGATGTCTTTGGCGCCGCGACCTCCTCAGAGCGTTCTGGAGCGCTCTGAGAGCGTTCTGGAACGCCCTGGAACGGATTCATCCTCGTCCTAGCCCCGTCCGGCCACGCCCGATCGGGCGTCGGCGTGGATGCAATGCAGGCCAGATCACCACTCGCCATCGCTCGGACGCCCATTCCCCAGCAAGGGGGCCCCGCGCCACGAGAGGCGGTGCCGCACGCGCAGGGGGCGATTTGAGCAGGGATCGACCGTCCTGGCATCCCTATAGCCCTACCACGAAATGTTCTTAGAGCCCCAAATGATCTAAGAACAAAAACAGTGCTCTTAGAACAGGAAAACCCGATGTGATAACAAAACAACACAATCTCACCCAGAAATGCTCCAAGAACATCTCGTGGAAACCACAAAAGGTTCTTAGAACATTGCATGGTGGGACTATATTGGGCGCCCGAGTTATCCGGGGTAGATCGGGTCTGGGGTAACTCGGGTTTGGGTTCCCGAAACAAGAACCCGAGTTAGCCCTGACCCGAGCTACCCCTGATGATGTGGGGCTCTGGACGCCCGAATTATCCGGGGTAACTCGGGTTCGGATTCCCGAAAAAACGAACCCGAGTTAACCCTGACCCGAGTTACCCCTGATGATTCGGGGCTCTGACTATAGGCGAGCGAGGACGCTTCGCCACTGCTTGAGCGATGCCCCCCCACGGGAGCGGGGGCCCGCTCGGGCGCGCGCAACGGCGACCCCCGCAGAGCCCAGTCGACGGACAGACGTCGGCAAAGGCTCTCCTGAGAAAGGGCAGAAGCGCTACTCCAGATTTCGTAATAAAAGGGAGGGGGTCACAACCCTCCCAGACGAGAAGTTTTAGACCCCCCAGGCTATCCATCAAAGGGCGGCCCTTTGCCCAGACCCCCCCGAACCCTCCAAGACAGCTCAAATCAGACCCCCCCCGAATGTGACCCCCTCTACTTTGTTATGGAATCCGGAGTACCCCCACAAGAATCGGCGGCGAGCGAGGGGGGGAAATGCGAAGTAGAGGGCCTTCTCAGAAGGCGGCGGGACTTTTCTGGGAGGCCCTCGCGCCTTCTTCTGAGAATGCTTCTTGCTTCGTCCCCGGGGAAGGCTCAGGAGACTTCTCAGGAGCCCCAGGGACCTCCGAGCCTTCTGAGAAGGCCCGCCACTTCTCACTTGCCCCCCCCGCTCGCCGCCGAAAGAAGGCAGCCCGGCAGACGAGGGCCCCGCGCAAAAACCCACCGAAGAGCAGAGGGCATCGAGCAGGGCAGGGTGAAGTTCAGGGCACGCCCAGGGCCGTGCAGCACCCGTCGGCGGGGGGGGGGGGGGTCCGGGTGCTTCCCTCCGCCCTGGAGGGCAGGACCTGACTACCTGCCAGACCACCCCAACCCAACCCGAAGACCCGAATTTCGGGTTGGGGGGGGTATGGGCTCCATATGTGTTTTTTCGACGTTCCCGGACCCCCCCCCACTGGAAATCGAGGGTAAATCCGACCCTTCGGGTTGGGTTGGGGTGGTTTGGTGGGTGGTGAGGACCTGGGAGGAGATCCTGGAGCCCATCTCTGCAAGTCCGGCGCCCGGAAGGGCCCAGGGCTCAGGGGGCTGCGGAAACGACAAGGCCGATTTTGTTACCTTACCGCTTCGGTGCTGCTGTTTTTTTTTGCCGGTTCCGACGCCGTTTGTTTTACCGGTTCCGTCCCCGTTTTTTGACCGGTTCCACTCCTGGAGCCGTTTTTTTGCCGTTTCCGGTCGCCGTGTTTTTTGCCGATTCTATTTTGAAGGGGCATTTTTTTGGACTGCTCGCACTTGGGAGATCCGGCGCCCCCCCCCCCCCGGGCACCAGGCTTTGGGCGGGTGCTGGTGGGCTGCTCTCTTGTATCGTGCCATGCTTCCTCCTCCTCCTCCTCCTCCTCCTCCTCCTTCTCCCCCCCCCTCTCCTGATTGCTGCTGGTGTCTTCCTCCTCCTCCCTGGCATCCTTCCATGCTTTCTGTCCCTGCTCCTATCTGCTAGCCCACGGCATCGAATGCCCTCCAAAAGGGGTGCCGTGGGCCCTGGAAACGACAAGGCCGTTTTTTTACTGGTTCCGTTTTGCCGTTTTGTTGCCGGTCCCAACGCGGTTTTTTTTACCGGTTCCGTCCCCGTTGTTTGACCGGTTCCGGCTCCGGTTCCAATCCTGGAGCCGTTTTTTTGCCGTTTCCGGTCGCCGTGTTTTTGCCGATTCTATTTTGAAGGGGCATTTTTTTTGGAAACGGTGAAAAAACGGCCCTGCCGTTTCCGGGGCTCACTAAGGTTCAGGAGCAGGGCAGTGCGACCCGACCAGTGGTGCACGCTGAGCAGAGGAAACGACGCTTTCTGCTCGCCCTTGGGAGATCAGACGCTCCCGCCCCCCCGGGCACCAGGCTGTGGGAAGGTGCTGGTGGGCTGCTCTCCTGTATCGTGCCATGCTCCCTCCTCCTCCTCCTCCTCCTCCTCCTCCTCCTCCTCCTCCTCCTCCTCCTCCTCCTCCCCCCCCCGCTCCTCCTCCTCCTGCTCCTCCTCCTCCTCCTCCTCCTCCTCCTCCTCCTCCTCCTCCCTGGCGCGCGGAGCGCGCCAGGGGCGGCGCCGGAGACGCCTCCAGGGGGGTCCAGCGCGGATCCGAGAAATCTGCGCGGACCTTCGAGTTTTTATGTTTATGTCATTCTTCGTTCCCCTTGGGAAGAGGCGGGGGGAGCATGGTAGGGGGAGGCGGCTCACGCGCCGCAGCGCAAAGGATACGAGCGCCAAGGAATTCCAACGGGGTGCTGAAATTCTTGTGGGGACCTATGAAGAAGGAACGTGGACGGACGGTTTAGTGCCAGATCGTTGGAACCTCTTCGTCGACTCCTCCTCCGTATCGCCCCCTCCATCTCCCCATCACCTCTTCCGCAAGGGGTCCTTCTTCTCCTCCTCCTCCTCCTCCTCCTCCTCCTCCTCCTCTCCTCCTCCTCCTCCTCCTCCTCCTCTCCTCTCCTCCTCCCCCTCTCCTCCTCCCTCTCTCCTCCTCCTCCCTCTCTCTTCCTCCTCCTCATCAACCTCCTCCGCCTCTTCCTCCTCCTCCTCCTCCGTCCCTGTTGCTCATAGAAGGCTCCTCCCTCTCGCACTCCCAGGCGTGTCAGTGGGGCGAGCCCGGCGTTTCGCCGGAGACTTCCTCGCCACTCATGGCTCTGAAGCTCGGTAGCTCTCGCCCTAGAAACGCGCACTTTTTGGGGTCTGCGGGTCGAGAGCGAGCCTCTTCCGGTTAAGAGCTGGGCGGGGCGCGCAAAGCCCTAATTGGGGAGACAGGGCGCGGGCGGGCGGGGCCTCAGGCGGCCTTCGAAGCGCGCACACTCGTCTCAGAAACGTCTGAAGCGCATGCGAGAAGGGAGGGCGGGCCCTGCTCGAGGTGGGGCTCTCGCTGCGCACATTCTTCACACACATCTGCCACAGCTTCAACGATGGAGGGCGGGTGGTTTTCAAGATGTGACTCGCGCCTAAGGGCCGCGCACATTCGATCTTAAACATCTGCAACACGCGCAAGGATGGAGGCCGGGTCCGTTTGAAACTGCGGCTCTCGCCTGAGCGCCGCATTCGTGTTCAAACGTCTGCAGCAGAGACTGGGGGAAGGCCGTTCTCAAAAAAAATGTGGCTCTCAACCTAGCGCTGCGCACATTCAATTTCAAAATTCGCAAACAACGTCGAACATGGACGGAAGCTAATTTTCCAACCTGTAAATGCTGCCTCAGCGCCGCGCGCATTCGTCTTGAAAGTCCGAAAGTATGTCAAATACACATAAGGTTGAAGTCACAGGAATGGTGCTCCAGCACGGTGTAGTACTGTCAGGGTGAAACAGTCACGCTGGTTCGCGGAGCTGAAATACCAGGAATGGTGTTCTGGGGTGGTTCAAAAATTAAGGACGCAACAGCACCGTTGAATCTGTGTTTTGTTAACCTAAGAACAGTTGTTCGGCACGAGTGAAGAATCTCAGACAACTGTCCTCCAAGTTGGCAGTTCCCGCAATGACAATACATTGTGACAGGGGCCGATGAAGAAAGTTTTGAGGGAGAGTCTAGATCAACCTCGTGAGGCGTCTTGGGTTCGCACGGGTCCTCCTCCTCCTCCTCCTCCTTCCCATGCTCCCCTTCCTCGTCCTTCTCCTCCTGCCTCTTCCAGGTGTCGCTCCTCCCCTCCTCTCCTCCCCCATCCTCCCGCCCCGCGCCTCCGCCCTCCGTCCTCCTTGCTCGCCCTGCGCCTCCCGTGTCCCCACCCCCCTCCCCTGACCGGGTGACGTGGCGATCCCAACCCCCGGCTCTGCACGGGAACGGACCACCACGAACGGGGGCCAGACTCCGGGCTGCACACACAACGGAGGGGCGCCCGTCCTCCACAGGAGAGGCACCCCCTCCCCTGCCCGGGCGACGTGGCGATCCCAATCCCCGGCGGTGCATGGGAACGGACCTCCACGATCGGGGGCCAGCCTAGGGGCTGCACGCACGACGGAGGGGCGCCCGTCCTCGACAGGGGAAGCACCCCCTCCCCTGCCCGGGCGACGTGGCGATCCCAATCCCCGGCTCTGCACGGGAACGGACCGCCACGATCGGGGGCCAGCCTAGGGGCTGCACGCACGACGGAGGGGCGCCCGTCCTCCACAGGGGAAAGCACCCCCTCCCCTGCCCGGGCGACGTGGCGATCCTAACCCCCGGCGGTGCACGGGAACGGACCTCCACGATCGGGGGCCAGCCTCGGGGCTGCACAACACGACGGGGGGGGGCGCCCGTGCTCGGCGGGGGAGGCTCCTCCCCCGGAAGACGCCCCCCTTGGAAGTGCTCGCCCGGACCCACGCCAATTGCTGGAGCGGCAAATTGACTTCGGGCGGAACTCGGGGACGGGGGCGAGAGGCGGAGGCGGAGGAGGAGGAGGAGGAGCAGGAGGGGGGGCAGGAGGAAGAGGAGGAAGAGGAGGAGGAGGAGGAGGAGGAGGAGGAGGAGGAGGAGGATGAGGAGGAGGAGGAGGAGGAGGAGGAGGAGGAGGAGGGGGAGGGGGGGGAGGAGGAGGATGGGGGAGGAAGAGGAGGAGCAGGAGGAGGGAGGGAGGGAGGGGGGGGAGGGAGGGGGGAAGGAGGGAGGGAGGGGGAGGAGGACAAGCCAGTTGCGCTCGCGTCAGATCTGATGTCCTACCCCTCCCTTCAATTCCCTTACTATGGCGTAGGTATCCTCTCTATACGCACAGTCGGATGTCAGGCAGGGCAATGATCGCGAATGGATACGCGTTGCATGGTAGAGCACGGCATGGCATGGCGTAGAAGAGCACGGCAAAGCGAAGCGTGCCATATCATGGCGTGGCATTGCGCAGTGAAGCATTGCATTACAAAGGGTTGCAACGCACAACGTGGCATCGCACAGCGGCGCAAAACACAACACCGCGCAGCATGTTAGGGCATGGCACGGGGTTCCTTCAAGGGTAAGTGGATCGTCTTCGAAGGGTCTCGGCCAGTCTGAAGTCGCGGCTCCATGTTCAGCTCCCTGGGCGCCCCGAAAAGCTCCCCACAAGGCGGGGCTGATGGGGAGTACCCGCTGGCTCTGCTTGCAACATCGCCTTCTCAAAGCAGAAGTGAGGCTCCCGCTCGATGCTCGCTGAGAGCGGCGACGCCCAAAAGTGGGGGGGGGGGGGCAGCTTCTGCGGCCCAAGAGGGTCAACGAATCGGCACCGAATGTGGAAGATCACTTCCGTTGACGCCAGCGCTGCAATGGGAGCACGATTCGTGATGAGCGGAAGCGCGGAAATGAGGGCAGCGCTGCAGCGGAAGCACGACTGGGAACGAGCGGTAGCCCGAAATTGAAGCCAGCGCTTCAGCGAGGTCAGCATACAAAAAACACGAGTGAAAACCCGTTCCCCGGGAAGTCAGTGAAAAGATCAGCAGGCGGAGGGAGGCCGAATATGGAGAGAGGAGAGTAGTATTCAGATTGTGCAAGTGTGGAAGAGGAGGAAGAGAAGGAGGAGGAGGGGGAGGAGGAGGAAGAGGGGAGGAGGAGAAGGAGGGGGAGGAGGAGGAGGAGGAGGAGGAGGAGGAGGAGGAGGAGGAGGAGGAAGAGGCTGGTCGCTGGTCGGGCATGGCTCGCCGCGTGGCAGAACTGCACAGGTGCCTTCCAAGTCTTGCCCCGCCCATCGGCTTCTCACCGCCTCCTCCCGCCCGCGGCCCGGCGGAGAGCACTCGCGGAGCGGCGGGGGCTCGGAGCGGTGAGCGGCCACGACGGGAGAGCGCTCGCCAGGGCCGAGCGCAGGGCCGACACAAACTATCCAAACGCACTGCGCCACGGCACGCGCGAATACGTACAGTCATGCAACAATAAGGTTAAGTCCAGCGTGTCCCCCTACATGGGGATTTCGACGAAAAACTAAAAATACACAAACAGTGCCCCCAAAAGGTCAAAACATACTCAAAACGCAGTCCCCAGACTATTGTTTGATATTTGTTGGGCAATTTTTTTGATTGTTTTTTCTTTAAAATTATTTGCGTCGACAATCCCCTTGTAGGGGGACAGGCCCGACTCAACAAGAGGGAGCGCTGCCGAAGGCGCGCTGTGGATGGCCTGGCCGCGGCGAGAGGCTCGGCCACGACCGGGCTCCCCCCGCCTCGCGCATCCGCGGCGCGGCCCGACAAAAATCCGAGCCAGAGCCCGCCGCCCGGGCCCGACGAGGCGCCCGTGTGCAGGCGCTCCGACGGTCGACAGCGCGGCCCCCGGCCGCACGCGGCCTCCAGCTTCCCCCTCTCCTCCCCACGCGTCGGAAATCGGCCGCGGCGCGCGACCTGCTGCGAGGTCGCGGCTCGCTCCCCCCCCCATCCTCCCCAGGCGTCAGAAATCGGCCGCGCGCGCGACCTGCTGCGAAGTCGCGGCCTGCTCCCCCCCCCCCTCCCTCCGTGGAAAAGCGAAGGGGGGGGGGGGACCCCAGGCAGAGATCGGGCCGGGCGAAAGGGGGGGGATAGCGAAGGGGGGGGGGTGAGAACCAGCTCCCGTAGCTGATTCTCCCGGCGCCTCCCGGCGCCGGAGGCGCCCATGTGACTATTGAGGAATGAACGGGCCCGGCGGCGGGGTCGACACCAGCTGCACGCAGCGGATTCCGCAACCCCTTCTTTCCCAATCCCCCCCTCTCGTCCGGCCCGGCTAGCATAGCCAGAAACTGTTGAGGTCCGCACAGACTCCTTTGGTGGACGCTGGGCCCATCTGGCGGCGCCGCCGGCGCCGCGCCTGGCGCGCCTTCCGCGCGCAGGGGAGAGGGGCCCAACGCCGAACCCCAAGAAATCGTCCGGCCCGAGGCGGGGGGACCCCACGCAGAAAGCCGAGGGGAATGCCACAGCCGCTCGCGGCGGCAGCGGCACAAGGCACGCGGCGGACTGGCGCGGCCCCCCGGCGGCAGGCCTGCAGCGGGAAACGCAGCGAACAAAAGGAGGCAGGCAGGAGCGGAGGAGGGAGAGGGCAGGAGGAGGAAGGAGGAGGCAGGGGCGGAGGAGGGAGGGGAGGAGGGAGAGGAGGACGAGGGAGGAGCAGGCAGGGGAGGGGGAGGGAGGGGCGGAGGAGGGAGGGGAGGAGGAGGAGGAGGAGGCAAGGGGGGGGGAGGAGGAAGGGGCGGAGGATAGGAAGCAGGAAGAGGGGGGGCAAAGACTGCGCCTGGCTCGCTGGACGCTGAGGCCGAGGCCCCTCTGGCGCTCTCGCTGTCGATGGCGCCGCTCTGGTGCTTCCAGTACAGGAGCTTGCCGTTGTCGCACCTTCGCCGCCGCGGCGGTCTGGCAACGGTCGCGCGATGAGACGTTTTGCCCCTCTAACCAGCCTCGAACTCGGCCCTATCGTTACGATTGACAGGCCAGAAGGCGATGACAATCTTGGAACTGCGCCGACGAAAACCATGGGAATCCTCGAGGTCGGCATCGAGATGAGGCGACGCCAATAATAGGGACAAAGACATGCGCCAAGTATATAATTCACCCCGTCCACTCCGTGGGTCCTCCCACCCCGCCGTGCAATTTCGAATTACCCGTACACTGCAAACCGTGCACTCCTCGCAAACTGTGGCGAGCGTGCCAGCGATGGCCCGCCTGTCAAATTCGGTGCGTCCTTACTTGTCCGTCTCACTGTTGGGCCCAATCACGCCGGAGCGACCTCATTAACACCCAAGATGGCCTCAAGACGGCCCGAGAGGCCCACAAGACGCCCCAAGATGGCCTCAAGAGATGGGGTCGGAGGATTGCACCGAATCGGCGATGCACCGTCGACGTCGGCGGCGCATCGGCGACGCCAGCGTAGAGAACATCGGGTTCCGCATCGAACCGCATCGGCGATGCATCGGCAATGCACCGGTGCATCGGCGATGCGGCGCGATCCTCCGACCCCATCTACGAGGCAGATTGAAGAGGCAAGGGCTCCCAACTTTGCGCTTCGCGCTGCGCGAAGCGCGAAGTGCGAATAACTTCGCGCTCTCGCACCGCCTCCCAGGGGAGAAGAGGAGGATGAGGAGGAATCGGAGCCGACCCGCGAAGCGCGAAGCGCGAATAGCTTCGCGCCCTCGAGGGCGCCAATGCTAAGGGACAGACGAACAGATGGACACAAATCCCAGGATCCCCCACATGCTCACATCTTCTGGATATTCGTCTACCCTTAAGTCGGGCCTGTCGCTCTACAGGGGGAATGTTCTAAAATAGTAGAAAAATAATCAGGTTTTTTTTCCATGTTTGACAATGTTTCTAATTTTCCGTCGAAAATCGGCCTGTAGGGGGACAGGCCCGACTTTAGTCTACCTCCCAACTTCCAGGAAGCCCAGAACACGGCAGCAGAGGGGGCGCCGGGGCGCCGGCCTGAAGAAGCGCCAGTGCCACAGGCCGACGTGGTGGCTCTTCTTGCGCAGCCAGCCCTCCTTCTCCTTGGGCTGCGCCATGGGGGGCTCTTCTTGCAGCCCTGGCGAGACAGGTGGGGACGGGGGATCGAGGAGGAGGAGGAGGAGGAGGAGGAGGAGGAGGAGGAGAGGAGTTAGAACGCGCCAAGCATCCGCTTCACGTTTGGGCATCGGCCAAAGGGAGGAGAGGAGGAGGAGGAGGAGGAGGAGGAGGAAGAGGAGGAGGAGGAGGAGGAGAAGGAGGAGGAGGAGGAGGGGGAGGAGGAGGAGGAGGAGAAGGAGGAGGAGGAGGAGGCGGAGGACGAGCCTCCTAGCATATGCCGCCTCCTAGCAGACACTCCCCCCTAGCAGATGCAGTGCCTTCGCGCGACGCGCCGATCAAACTGCGATGTGCGCCTATCCTCGCGCGTTGGTGCTGCCACCCTTGAGGCTCCTGAGAAGTGCACCTCTCCAGCTCAGACGAATCGGTCCAAGGGGGGTTAGCGAATCGGCCCAGGAAAGGCTGATTATCCCTGGTGCCTCTGGGCACCAAAAGACAGTGTATCAAGGGAAAGAGCCAGGCTGCGGAGCCGAAACCAGCTGCATGCAACAGATTGCGTACCCTCCCCCCCGTCCTTATCCACACCTTTAGTCCGACCCGAGTCCCAGGACCGAAAGTTCCAGTTCTCCGCTGTCCTGATCTGTGCAGCGCGGGGTTCTGGGGCCCCAGGGCCGCTCCCCCAATGACTCTGGCATTGCGAGGAGGAGGAGGAGGAGGAGAAGTAGGAGGAGGAGGAGGAGACGGAGGAGGAGACGGAGGAGGAGGAGGAGGAGGAGGAGGAGGAGGAGGAGGAGAAGGAGGCGAGGAGGAGGAGGAGGAGGAAAAGGAGGAGGAGAGGAGCAGGAGGAGGAGGAGGAGGAGGAGGAGGAGGAGCAGCAGCAGCAGCAGCAGCAGCAGCAGGAGGAGGAGAGGCCCTGGAGCTCGAACAGGGCGAACGACCCGTTCTGACAGGGAGGCCTGGGCGCCTCGGTCCGGGAGCAGGGAAGAAAGCGACGCCACAGCTGCCAGCGCGCGAGGAGCCGGAGGTCCTCCCGGTGGTGTGGCCCGCCCTCCCCGCTCGAGGCATCCCCTGATCCCTCCTCCTCCTCCTCCTCCTCCTCCTCCTCGTCCTCCTCCTCCTCCTTTTCCACTCCTCTGGAGACTTCCTCCCTAGCTACAGCCTCTGAGAATGGCGAATCTCGGCACATTGACGCTGGGCTGCCTCGAGGCAGCCCCGTGACCCCGGGGTGCAGCGTCGACCTCGTCGCTGGAACGCACGGCAACCGCCCCCCGCCACCCACACGAGGAACTTCAGGACAACTAGACCGCGCGCGCGGCCCGCCCCCCCCGCTGTGGCAGCTGGCAGCGGCCTCGCTCACAGGGCGTCACCTACGCACACCCGCCAGAAGTGCAAAACGTCGATTCCTAACATCCACTGATGTGGGGGCTGGGGAAAGTTCCCCACTGTTCATCGCTGAAGGTGGCTCCCCTGGTGGTGCTGTTGGTGGTGCCGCTTTCCTCTCTTCCGACAGGCCTCGCGGCACGCCCAGATTGTGGGCCGAAGCACTCGGCCAAAGGGAGGCGAGTAGGAGGAGGAGGAGGAGGAGGAGGAGGAGAAGGAGGAGGAGGAGGAGGGGGAGGAGGAGGAGGAGGAGGAGGAGGAGGAGGAAGAGGAGGAGGAGGAGGAGGACGAGCCCCCTAGCACATGCCGCCTCCTAGCAGACACTCCCCCCAAAGCCAGCAGATGCTTCCCAAAACCGGCAGCGCCTGAGGCCGAAGAGGCGACGCTCGCCCCAATACATGGCGACGTCCGAACCCTGCCCCCGCCACCTATCGCCCCCCCGGCATCCAGGGGAGGCGGGGGTAGAGCTCCGACCTCGCCGGGTGCTCGACGGATCCCGAACCCTGCCCCAGCCGCCCGTCGAGTTGCCTGCATCGTGGATCGGCGAGGGTACGGTTCGGTCGGGCCTGCCCCCCTACAGGGGGATTTTGGACGAAAAAATGAAAAATACCCCAAAAATACTCCAAAGATGCCCAACAATACTAAAAAAATAGTCCCCAGACTATTTTTTGACTATTTTTGAATATTCCCCCTGTACAAGGACAGGCCCGACTTGAGGGTCGGGCGGACAGGGGCACCTCCGATCAAGATCAGTCCCCGGACCCCCCCCCTTGGGGGTCCATCTCGTGCAACTCTCCTCACTCGGGATCCGTGTTTGGCCTTCCCGGGGCCCGAACGCGGCCCCCAGAGGCCGACCATGGCCCCAGTGCGGGCCGCCGAGGAGTCAGGGCCCGAACAGCAAGTTGGCCTGGAATTTCTCAGCGGTTCGCTCGAGTGCACGCGAGCATGGCTGGACCTGCTCCCTTGGCCCCAATGCTGGCCGACGAGAATCAGGGTCCGAACAGCAGGTTGGCGTGGAATGTCTCAATGGTTCGCTCGTGCGCACGCGAGCATGGCTCGACCTGCTCCCTCTCCCCGTGCCCCTCGCCGTGGGCCCCTGCCCCGGCTCTGCGGGTGCTCTCGGGCGTGCTGCGGAATCCGCTTGGTCCCCGGAAATCAGAGCATTCGCTGTTGGAAATTCTACCCCGGTTCGTCCAAGGGCGTCCGCTAACAACGAGCGGCAAACGCGCCGCTAGAAGTCGCTGGAAGTGGATCGAAGCGGACTGGGCCACCATCTTGCCGACGCACTTCTGGGGTGCACAGCTCTCTCTCTCGCTCTCTCTATCTCTCCTCTCTCTCTCTCTTTCTCTTCCTCTATCTCTGTCTCTCTCTCGTGGTCTCTGGTGCGAGGCGGCGGTTTATCCATACCACCGCCTGCGAGACCATGTGTTTGGGACACCGGCGGGCGGTGGATGCGGAGATGCTCGGCCCCCACAGAGCCCGAATCGTGTTCACATCCACCGCCCGATTCCCCGGGCATGTGGGTTCCACGAACTGACGGTGACCAGCCGAGATGGACGGTGACCAAGATCGACACCGACGTGTCCGTGCTCAGTCTTGGCTGGAAGAGGAAGGTGCGGAGGAAAGGTGATGCAACGAAGGAGGAGGAGGAGGAGGTCATGGTCACCGTTCGTTTGCTCTCCGGGAAGGAGGGTCAAAAAAGGATTTGACGGCCGGTCTGGGACCCCCCCCCCAAGACAGGCAACAAAAGGTCCAGAATCGAGACCCCCCCACAAGTGTGTTCGACGAAGCCCGCGAGACCCCCCCGGAAGCAGACCCCCCCCCCATTCTTATGAGATCCGGAGTGCCAGTGGCACGCAGCCGTGGGCAGCCCGCCGGGATGTGTTCCTCCCTCGCTCTGCTCATGAGGCCGACGGCCCTTTCTCGACACCGCCACGCGCTACAGTGGGCTCCCCACGGCGGCGGGCCCCAGAGGCCTCCTGTACTACACGGGCTCCCAGCCTCGCGCTGCGCGCTGCGCGAAGCGCGGAGCGCGAAGGACTCCGCGCCGCCTCCCCAGGGGAGAAGAGGAGGATGAGGAGGAATCGGCGCCGAAGCGCGAAGCGCGAAGAACTTCGCGCCCTCGAGGGCGCCCCTGGACTCGGACCCCACCTGGGGAGGCCCAGCACGCGGACGAGCTGCCCACGGCAGCGCGCCAGGGATAGTGCCCCTGCTCCCCGAGATGGGGATACAGGCCCGCCTCGGGCCTTCCTGGGGGGGGGGGGGGCAACGACTGGGGGTCGACGCGTTCTCCCCCATGAGCCTGTTGGCCTCCTCGATCGTGATCCCTGAAGCGTTCCCTCCTCCCAGACCCCCCGACGTCATGATTTGTCCATGACATCGACCTCCTCGACCGTGATACCTGAAGCTTTCCCTCCTCCCAAACCCCCGACGTCCACGACATCGGCCGCCACAAGTCTCGACCACTTCCCCGAGACCGGATTTTCATCCTGGGTCGTTTTGCTGACGGCCCCTGGGCCCAGCGAGGGCCCGGAGAGACCGAAGATAGCGACAAATCATGCGACGTGATGTGTTCACGACTCGGGGGTGTGTCTCAGCTACGACTGTAGCTGGCGCCCTCCCGACTCAGACATCTGGCGCTCCAACTTTCGCGATGCGTGGGCCCCTGGCTTCCCCGTGGGGGCCCGCTTTCCACCCTTGAGTCGTCTTTTGATGGTTCCTTTGGACGTTGAGGGCCCTTGGTGATTGAAGATTGCCCAAAGCCAAGGCCGCGCACGGCAACAGCAGAACCGAAAACCGACCGAATGGACAACGGAACCGGAACCGACCGAAATCGACAGGCTTGGGCGCAACGACTCGGCAACGACACAAACCCAGCCGAATCGAACCGACCAAACGCAACCGACTGCGACGCAACCGAAACGGCCGACCCGCGAACACCCTTGAAAACAGGCCGCCCCATTTTGTTCGGATTCTCAGACTTGCGGGACTACAATCATGGCACTACCAGAACTGGCCGTCGCTCGGACGTCCATTTCCCGTGCATTTTTCGGTTTCGTGCGTGTTTTGTGTTGCTCGAAGGTCCAGGATGGTCCTCGATGGTTCTCGCCGAGAAAGCATGCACACGTCCGACCGCCAAGTGAGGAACGAAGTGGCCCTCCTGCCCACGGCAGGCGTCGTCCCCGTATCGGCTCCCCGAGCGGCTTGAAAACCCGAGCCGTCCTCACCCCAAAGTGGTCCTTCCGTCCTGGAGGTCGCTAGGGAAGGGGAGGGCAGCGCTGTTTCCAGGGCCAGATCCCAGTACGTTCGGCCGGCGCGCTTGGTCGATCAATCGCAGCCCCTACGACCCCTTTTTTCGCGAGAAACTCTGTTTGCTGATACGTTCGATTGGGCTGCCCAGGCTGGCTCTGCTACCCTACGAGAATTAACCCCTTCCTCCGCCGCCCCCGCATTCGCGACATGACGGCGGGGAGCCGCCAGAAAACTCAGGACATCCTCGAATCATCGGCAAGGAATCTCTGCGGCGGGGGGGGGACATGGCCGATCACGGCCGCTCTCGCATATTTTCATTCGTATTATTGGTATGATTAATATTATTATTATTATTATCATCATGAATACTAGTATCATTAGAATTAGTATTAGTATTAGTGTTAATATTACTATTGTCATTAATATTATAGTGCTATTATCATTCGGAATATTTTATTCTTATGTTACTATTATTCGTACTATGATTACTACGATTGTTAGGATTATGAATCATAGTATTAGTTTTAGTAGTATTACTATTATGATGAGTATTCGTATTCGTATGATTGTTGTATATTTAAATCTAGAAGCGCAGATCGCCTTCGCTGCCCCTGAGCATGCCCCAGGCCTTTGACTGTATAACTGGCGCCTTCCCGAGCGGAGCCCCGCGAGCGGCCACCGCCTCCCGGGGAGCCCCCGCCGAACCCCGGCCTGCGGGAAGGCGCTGCGCGGCCCCGGCCCCCGCCGCGTGTCCGGGCGCGCCGGGCCGCCCTCCCGCGCCGCGCGCGCTGGGCGGGCGCGGGCCGACGCGCGGGCCGCTGCGGGGGCAGGGCGCCGCGTGCCGCTCCTGGAGGGTTCCTAGATGGGGTCCGAGTAGATGGGGTCGGAAGACCTCGCCGCATCGCCGATACATCGGCGATCCATCGGCGATGCATCGGCGATGCATCGGCGAAGTATCGGCGATGCATCGCCGACGTC